TCCAGGTGCCGGTCTGTTTCACGTATCACATGCATGTATCTATGCCTGCTGCTCAAGGTTCTAGTACTCTGGGTGCCCCGCAGTGCCGTCTCAGCAGCATCCGAAGCATCCCCCGTCGCCATGGCGGTGGTGCAACGACCCTCCTTCAACCCCACATGGTCCATGTGCCCATGTCCTATATATGTAGATACATATATACATATTATAAATATCTATATATATATACACACACACACGCATGCACGTATACAGATGCTTACTAGAATGAATGGATATGTACTCATGATAGAAATACTTTGGGCTTGAAGAAGCTATGTAGAACCCCGAAGGTGTCTTTGTATGCTAGATAGGCACATGGGACACTTGGAGTCATCTTGTGTTTGCCTTTTGTTGAACTTAGTTGTCGAGTTCATAACGAAAAAATGCACACTTTCAGTTCTTTCAGGGATCATACTATCCCAAAAAGTCTAAAGTGTAGTAATTCAGCTACTAAGTGAAGGCTTACATCTGATTGGCCGGAGCCATCGAATCCACTAAGCTTCTGCTCGAAAGGCCTAGAGGTTGGGTCTTAGCATGGTCGAGGGATGTTTAGGGTTTAGGTCTTATAGGTTTTTCTTTAAGGGCCCTTTTCCGTCTAAACCCTAAACCCTAAACCCTGAACCCTAAACCCTAAACCGTTTAGCGTTTACCGTCAGCAGGTAGCTAGGAAACTCGTCTCTTATAAAACGTGCGACCTCCTGGATCTCATTCATATTCTGGAGCACCAGCTTGGGCCATTTTTGGCAATGGAGGATCTGCTGCGTTTATGTAGGGCTTTAGGGTTTAGGGTGTAGGCGTTGAGGGTTTAGGGTTTAGGGTTTGAGGCTTTATGGCTTAGGGGTTAAGGACAATCAGGAGCATGAGGCGAAGTGGGAAACATGCTTATAATAAGAGTCGCATTGTGCGCCTCGGTCATATCAGGGTTTAGGGTTTAGGGCTTTGGTTTAGGGGTTTAGGGTTTAGGGTACCTGTCGAACAAAGAATACCCCGAAAAGCTACGCACTTTAGCAAAACGGAGAGCACAGTGCCCTGATACCCGCAAACCCCAAACCCTAAACCCCAACCCTAAACCCTAAACCCCAAACCCTAACCCGAAACCCTAAACCCTCAACCCTAAACCCCAACCCTAAACCCGCAAAAAAAGGCCAGTCATGCCCGAAGCTTACACCAACAAAGTCATGCAAGCCCTACTCTGCAGCTTGACCCAGAGTTGCTGTCACTAAATTACAGGGCCCACTACTAATCCAAAGAATAAGCTACGGTTGATGATATAAATCCTGCATTACCCATAATAAGGAATATACCATAATTCCCATAGTTTAGGGTCCGTAAGGGAATGCAGGATTTATACGTATCATCAACCGTACCAATCCAAAGAATAAGCTATCCAACAGAGAATCACACTTCAACGACTATGTATGGCTACTTACAAGCTTGCACTGTCGGCGCATCTTGGTAAGCAGGACATCATGTCGCACCCACACACACACATACACCCACGCACACAGAAAAAGCAGTAACCACAATCCCCTTGGGTTCAGGGCTTCGGGTTTAGAAACCACTTCCTCGTACTTCAGTTCTGGCATTTTATCCCACAGTGCTAGTCTAGAGTTTAGAGCGTGCTAGATGTTCAACCTTACATAGCCACAGCCATGGTATCCTGGGATTGAGCCTCATTTTCCAAGCTCGCCATTTCGGCCTCTAGTCTACCCAAATGGTCCAAGTCCAAATATAGTAGCCAGGTACTAAGTATTTGGGCCCCAAAATTACCCTAAACCCTAAACCCCTAAACCCCTAAACCCTAAACCCTAAATCCCTAACCCCTAAACCCTAACCCCAAAAGTATATACCATACTACTACTTGGACCCGTTGGGATCTCATCAGCATGCAATCTCTGCAAAGTGCCTGCAGCAACAGTCGGGACTCTGAGCCGAGATGGGTCAACTTCAGCTCGTCGTGCAAACTAACTTGCAACCGTAAACCGTAAACCCTCAACCCCAAACCCTAAACCCTAAAACCCTAAAACCCACAGCAGACTAAATATAAACGCTACACCGTATAAGGTCTCGGGAATCCGTGCCTAGGTTGGGAATTCTCCTAAACCCTATAAGACCTGGGGTTTAGGGTTGGAGAATCAGGCAACTCGACCGACTGTGCTGCTTGGACCGGGTAGCCGGTTGCACCAAGATTCTCTGCTTTTGGGATGTAAATGCGCAGAGCAAAAATGATTTCAGAATGGAAGCACAAGATGTCCATGTTCTATGGCCGGTTCCTCGCCTCACCTTCACGACCAAATGAGCACTAAAAGCATGCAAGATGCAGTTCTCAAACGTCATAAGCGATACAGTATAGGCTCTAGAGTGCTCTCTAGAAGGATCATGGATGCACAAAGGCACAAAGCATGACACTTTGAGGCCGCACTCGGTCTTGAAGGTTGCAACCAGAAACGAACACTCCTGTCGCGCCAGGCTCAGAAAGCCATCCTCGAGTTCAGGTTTAAAGGTTTGAGCACCAAAGGATTCAAAGGCAGAGGAGCCGTCTTGAAAGGCTGCGCACTTCTGCAACAGCAGTCTGAAAACTTGCGAATGGCGTCCGTCGATGCGATGCTATGCAGATGCACCCGGGTCACCCGGCATCTTTTCTCAGGAACGCTTTCTATGACAGCCGTATATGCCTTCGCCTGGCCAGTAACATACTGGCAGAGCGTCGGCACACCAAACGAGGCTGCCTCCACGAAAACTCCATAAGGCAGGGTCAGATTCTTGGGATCCCTCTGACATGTAGGGTTTAGGGCCTAGGGCCCCAGGGGCTTATGATTCATGGTCACGGATGTACCGGCCTCGGCCCCCAAGGCAAAATTCCCAGTCGCATCGGCGCTATGTGGGACTTTCCGAAAATTAGGGGGTACCTTATTTTGGGGTCCTTATAATAAGGATCCTACTATTTAGAGTACTATATTAGGGTCCCCTATTTTCGGAAATCCCCATGTCGCTATGTCACTAGATATTGGGCTCTGCCAATCGCCTGCGGCGCTGGCGCTGCCGACGGCGCTTCTCACTTTCGTCGCAAAGATGACAGAACAAGCCTTAGTCTTAGGTAGTTCCCAAAGGGTCCAAGTAGCTACAAAAAAACAGATATGTTGGCCTCAAAAATAAATACTATAATTACCATTCATTGCTTGGACCCTTTGGGGTTGTCACTGTGTTCATTACTGTGTTCATTCCTTGCTCAGGGCCTTAGAGTCTTGTTTGCATTCAACACTGCTGGCTAGCACGATCCTTGAGGGTCTGCAATCAAGCCTTTTGTGGGCCTGCATTCCATGCTAATCAGTTAATTCCGAATATCAATCCTAAACCTCAAGAATCCAGCCCTACCTCCAAAAATCTAGATCACATGAATCCTGAACCTTAAACGTGAACCCTAAATCCAATACCGAGACTCATGTCCTCCCACTGGCGCACCCCTCCTTCGTGGCTGCTCTTGCAGGTTGCTTAAACATTTTTTGTTCCTGCAAACTAGGCTACACCAAAAAAAAACAAAAAACGGAGTACACCAAACACGAGACTCTTCTGAAGAAGCCCTAAACTCCCGATGAACAAAACCCAACACATCTAAACCCAAAGCTCTAGACCCCAAACCCCAACCACCGAAAGCAAGGCTTCCAACAAAAACAACCTCAACAGCCTTGAACCCTAAACCTAAAAACCCTAAAGCCTGAACCGGAAAACCCCTAAAGCCCTATACTAAACCTCTAATACCCCCTAAAGCCCTAAACCCCATAACGCCTAACCCCTAAACCTCTGAACCCCCAAAGCTCCCCCGGGCCTTCTTGTGGAAGAAGACACGGGGAACCCTAAACCCAAAACTCGAAACGTATGAACCCTAAACCTCAAAAGCCCTAAACTTTTATCCCCTTCGAACTTATGGCCTCTAAACTTATAAACCCTAAACTTTTAAAGCTTATAACGCCCTAAACCCTGAAGCCCTAAAGCCCTAAAGCCCCAAAGCCCTAAACCCTAAACTCTAAAACCCTAAAACCCAGCCCCTAAACCCTAAACCCCTAAAGCCCTAAACCCCTATAAACCCTAAAAAGGCCCCCTGGGCCTTCTTGTGGAAGAAGACGCACGGCTTGCACTCGTGGGTGGCGTGGCCGCCAGATCCCAGGCTCGGCAGCGCCGGAGACCCCAGGACCACCTCTTTTAGGGTCTTAGGATCTTAGGGTTTTGGGGGTGTGGGTTTTGGGTCTAGGGTTTTGGGCTTAGGGTTTAGGGTTTTGGGGTTTAGGGTTTAGGGTTTTGGATTAGGGTTTAGGGTCTTAGGGTCTAGGGTTTAGGGTTTAGGGTTTAGGTTTAGGGCAAAGGGGCTTAGGAAAGGGGCTTAGGATTTAGGGTTTAGGGTTGACGTAGCACTAAAGACCTACCTGTTTAGGGTTCCCAATCATGGTTCCTATACATGGTTCCTTGAAGAGGTAGGTTTTTCCCTCAAAAAGGCAGGGTTTAGGGTTCGGAAATGAGGTTGTGTAGGGTTCGGGGAGGTGGCAGAGTTTTCGGAAGTCGAACGGAAGGTTTGTCGACTTCACCCGCCTTAGGAAGAGGTAGGGGCGAGGGTTTAGCATTTAGTTTTGGGGTGTAGGGTTTAGGTTTAGCATTGAGTTTAGGGTCTAGGGCGTAGGGTTTAGCATCTAGTTTAGGGATTAGGGTTTAGCATTTAGTTTTGGGGTGTAAGGTTTAGGGTTTAGCATTTGGTTTAGGGTTTAGGGCGCAGGGTTTAGCATTTAGTTTTGGGGTGTAGGGTTTAGGGTTTAGGGCTTCGGGTTTAGGGTTTAGTATTGTCCCAGAACTCGCCGGTGCCTTGGGAATAAAGACCAAACAAGAACTGAACAGACACCCGGATCGCCTGAGCTCTGCTCGGAGAGTAGTTGGGGGCCGGAAAACTCATCATGTTCGACGGTGTGGGTGGCACCTGACTTGCGGGGCTTGGTCGCCCTAAACCCTAAACCCTAAACCCTAAAGCCCTAAACCCTAAACCCTAAACCCTAAAGCCCTAAAGCCCTAAACCCTAAACCCGAAGCCCCTGAACTCCTAACCCCTAAACCCCAAAAGGATGAGCTGTAGTGGACGGTGGGCCGGCTGATTTGACACTCTGTGGTCAACCGAGAACTGTTGTTAAGAAGGTGTCTGTAACCGAAAAGACCTACCTTTTGAAGGGTTCGTTCTTGTGATTTCTCTCTCTCTCTCTCTATCTATCTATCTATCCATCTATCTATCTCTATATATATATATATCCGAAAACAGGTAGGTCTTTCCGGCTACAGGTAAGCCTTAAGATGAGGAGACTCTTGTGATAATCAAGTGGTCGCCGGACCGAAACCCCAAAACCTGCAAACAAAGGCAGAGCTGGAAAACTTGATCTGCAGCCCCGCGGCCTGCAAGCAAGGTCGTGCTGGGGTGGCATAGAAGGTGGTACCTTGTTCAGTTTGTTCAGCAACCAGCATGGGTTTAGGGCTTAGGGTTTAGTAGCTTGTTCAGGAACCAGCATGACCATTAAACTCATCCTACTCTAAACACCTGAAACGAGAAACAAGCAACAAACTCTCTCCATGTACACTAAACCTGAAGCCCCACCTAGACCCTCGCCTGCCCGGGGCCTTAATAATTAGAATAGCGCTATGGGATATACTGCAAGGAACCCAAAAGAACACTCTTTCAACTTCTTCAGGCTTCTACTACTATGTTCTTGCTTTGCAGAGGATCCGACCAAGCAAGAAAAGCTTGCGCGAGAAACTCAATTAGCGGGTAGAGGCAAGCTCTGAGCAGTTGGCAAAGCTTAGAGGTGCTTTTGGCCTATTTACAAACCTAGACCTTACAACCCCAAGCCCTAAACACCCAACTTAACCTAAACCCTACACCTAAGTCCGACGCCTAAGCCTTATAGTAAGCCTTATAGCTTAGCTGCTCAGTACCCTGGCCCAAAAAAGTTTAAACTTTTCTTGTAGTAGGGGTTTAACATACCAAAAAAAGTTTAAAGTTTACCTATCGGGCTCCTAAGATAGCAAAGCTTAAAAGGTGCTTGTGGCTGCAGGCCGTGGTTGGAACATCTTGGCGCCGCTGGAAAGCCGCGTCCGCGAGGGATCGGTAGTCTCGGCCTCTGTCAGCTGAACTTGCCCTCCCGGCTTTAAACCCTACTAAACCTTTTCTAAGCCCTAAACCC